GGGCAGTTGGCATGGCAATAGTTATGACACTTGTGCTCCATTACTCATGTCCCCAGGAGCCTTCTCACCCCAAGTGACACCTGCCAGGTGTTGCCATGGAGCACACAGAAAAGGCAGCTGTCACATACACAGAGAACAAAGCTCTTTGGAACAAAATGCTGCTTTAAATCAGCTTTTGTGCCACAGATTCCCACTTCCCCTCAGCTGAGAGTCTCTATGTGACAGCTCCCTCCTGTCTCCCCTTGTTTGGAAAGGTCACTGCTCTTCCCTTCTGGGCCTGTTGTGTGCTGCTGCTCACCCTGACTAAGGATCATTCCAGGGATCTCTGGTCCACCTTAGATTTCAAGAGACCAAAAACTTACAGATGAAATTACTTGAGCTGTAGAATGTCAGAAACTATTTTCTGCATAGGCTATGAAAATGTAACCTAACCCTCAGCCAAGTGATGTCGTGTGCCTGGGGCCAGCTGCACAAAATATACAATATAGCTCACCAAAAATATGCGCCTAAACCACATCAGATAAATCATCTCCTACAAATACCCTTATCCTCCACTCCCTCTGATGAAAGCAGCCATGAATAATGAACTCTGGAGCAGCTGCCCTTGCTGTGGACATGGGAAAGGTGGGAAAATGAATCCCAGCTGCAAGGGCTTAGGGTGACAGGATAAGGGGGAATGGCTTTAAACTGAAAGACAGATTTAGATTGAATATTGGGGAAAAAATGCTTCCCTTTGAGGGTGGCAAGGCTCTGGCACAGGCTGCCCAGAGAAGCTGTGGTTTCCCCTGAATCCCTGGAAGTGTTCAAGGCCAGACTGGATGGGGCTTGGAGCAACCTGGGATAGTGGATGGTGTCCATGCCACATGTACAGCTCAGCAATAATAAAGCATCAGTGGAAACAGCACTGGAAGAATCTATGCCTTTTATTTATTTATTTCAGAAAAATACTTCTGCTGAGTTTATCACAAAAGTCATTGAAACAATGAACAACAACAACAAACAAAATCCGTACAAAAACTGAAGTGACAGGAAGAATGAAACAAACGGGATAAAATACCAGAGACTGTTAATTCCCCCCCCACCCCCCCTCCAAAATCAGGAAATTTGCACTAAAGCATAAATATGGAAGAACAAAACTTTTCCTCGAGTTCCTTTGCTGAAGTTTGATCAGTTGAGCTCAACATTTTCGAGGAAAAACTACACACCTCTGCCTGGCTTTTCCAACAGCCATTCTTCCCAGAAAACCCCCAAGGAAGTGGAACATACCTCACTGCTGGGCATAAAACCTACTAAACCAACCTTTCACCCCCATGAAGTTTCCTGGAAGGCTGTAAAACAAACCCCATCATCTCCACCCACTGCTGACACAGCCTGGGCTCCATCTACCAAAGGCAAGAGCCCGAGGCTGCTGTAAACCCCCTGGCACTGCAGCAAAGGCGGGATGGCTCCAAGCTCCCAGTCACTTGGAGGCAAGGAAGAGACATCCCAGAGTGACCATGCTTCCCTCCAACCAGGAAGCTTACCAAAAATACCTTTTAAAACATTGAGTTGAGAGTAAGGGGACCTACAGGGGAACTGGAACTTGGCTACTACTAACCCAAACATGATGAGTAACAAGAAAGAATCCTAATTAACAACAACAATCACATAAACGCAACTGTAATGCCCCATAATGTAAGAGTCACTCAAAAACTGTATGTGAAATGCTACATCTGTTTTTCCTCCACCCCTTTCTCTTCCCAAGTCCATTCTCCAGCTACCTAAGACAAGAAAAGAGAACTAGTGCTGGTATTTCACAGCTCTTCTAGGCTAGGATAGGAAAACACTACACTTCACCCCAAAAACCACAGGCTACTCAATTCCTGACCTCCTTAGGTTGGATAATGGACACAGACTACTAAAGCAGCCTCAAGCCCATGGGAAGGGTGCAAGGAATCATGTCCCACTGGAAATGTTGGATAATCTCCATCACCTTCTGCACCGTGGTGGACAAGAAGTCCTGTTCAGGGTTGGATCTTGGTGTTGGTTTAAAGGTTGGACTTTGACGAGTTTGGAGGCATTTTCCAACCTCACTCAACAATTCCATGCTGTTTTCTGCAGATGACACAGATGGGGCATGAGAAGAGCATCTACTAAAGGGAAGTGAGCTCGTGGCATTTCATAGGTGGAGAGGCCAAGGACAGACTGACCACTAAGGGCTTGATATGAAAATGTTCCAAGCAAAAGTTCTTTGGGCTAAAAGGAAGGCTGGATCTGCTGAGAAATGACATGGACACAGGAGCAGTTACTGCAGGCTTGCAGCCCAGGGATTGTGCTTGCACTACTACACAGAGATAGGAGCAGCTCATGGCAGCCCCTCGGATGGAGAGGGGATTGCAAACCTCCAGGATGACAGTGGATATCGCCTCACAACAAAGGCTCAGCTCAAAGAAACCCAACCTGCCAGGTTGGGGTCCAAAAGAAGGATGGGGATTTCTGAGGACTACATATAAAGGAGGGCTAAAAAATAAAGCCCCATCATCTACAGGTTTAAAAAACCAAAATTATAAAAAGAACATATGGAAATGCTTCAAAAACAAATGTCCCTTTTCCTGGTAGCGCTATCAAAAAGGAAACAGAAAACACGTAAATGTAGCATATGTTGTACATACGTAATAACAAAGGAGGGTGTTCAGCTACTGCTACAGTGCACAGACAGGCTACAACATAAGGCACTTGGGATACAAAGCATCACCAGCTACCGTAGGAAGAGATAGGTTTGTGCAAGTGGAAAAGCTGCCTGAAGCCAAGCAGGCAGGAGGAGGAATCATTCAGCAGCCGTGTTTTTGGGGGTCACCTGCTAACAGAGTCAAGCAGCTCGGCTGCTGCAAGGCACCAGCACTGCGGAAAGGCCTGGCTGAGGCTCTGGGGAGGTGCCAGCCAGAAGTCCCTTTTGGAGGGCACTGGCAGTGGATGGCAGGGGATGGGAAGAGGCAGGAGAAATGAAAAACCTCTCCCACTAGACCTTTTCCATGTCCTCCCCCACATAAAGCTCCTTTCCCCCCGATCATGCTGCACCATGGGTCCTGTTGCTGCCTCTGAGCCAAAAAGTGTCTTATCCTCCCAGCACAGGCTACAAGGAGCAATGGCAAAGTACCACCAGGGGCTCTGCTCCAGCCTCCTTCCCCAGCTCCCCTGAAAACAGGGAAAGCCCTCTCCTGCCAATATCTCTCACTGAACATTAAAATGTGGTGAGAATTGAGGAACAGGTGGAATTTGACCAACTGTCCTCATGTCCCTGCATGTTTTCTCCCTCCAGTGCCTCCTCAACAAGGAGAGGGGAAAGAAAGGATAAAAAACACCCAGATAAACAGGGAAAACCCAACTCAGCACAAAGAGGGGCAGAAAATCAACTGTCAGCCATTCCTCAAAACATGACTGGTGCAAAGGACAACAGCAGCAGCCTCAAGCTGGAATTGCACTCAGAGAGAGCCAGAGTTCAGCTCCCCCCAAGGGTTGAGACAGGGGCACGCCAAGGATCAATCCTGGACTGCACAGGAACAGCATCCCAGCTCTGTGTCCCCCTCCTCACCGAGCCAAGGGGACACACCATGAGTCCTCTGTTCCTGCTGTGGCGAAGCAGAACTGAAGCTAGGGCCAACTTCACTGCACAGGAGGCACCAACAGCAAAGCCAGCTCAGGTACTGCCCCAGAGGACAGTGTGGGGGACAGAGGTGCCACTACTCCTCACCTGCCAAACCTAGCCTGGCATGGCACCCCAAAAAGAAGCCCAGTGAGATGGCACTGACCCACAAAACCCCAAGCAGATGCTGCTCCCAGCAGAGTCAGCGAGGGATCAGGCTGGTGGGATCCGGCTTTCCACAAAACCTCTTGCCAGCACGTGGAGGTGGCAGCAGGCAGGAGCAAGAGGGGAAAGTGGTCTGCAGCAACAGATGGCCTCTGAGGTAGATTTGAGACAACTCCATCTGCTAACAGCGACATGTCACAAGCCAGGCTTTTCCTAAAATGCAAGCTGCTCCTTGCAGCCCCAGCCTCCTTCACCTTCCTTCCCTGTCATCTCATTCACAGCTCAGAAAGGGATGAAGGGGCTAGGATTTTTGGAAGAAACCCTGGGTTTGATAGCACCTTGAGTGGATACAAGCAGTGTATCCTTTGGAAACAAAGAGTGAAGCTGGTGGCTGCTGATGGCATGGCTGGACTGGCACGGAAGGGATGAGGAAGGCTGAGGTGACAGTACGAGGGGCACAGTCCACTGATGCAAAAACCCTTTGCAGCAACCCATTTGTCACCTGAATGTGGTCAAGAGCAACAAGAACACCAGGTCCACGAGGCACAGACAAGCTGGCAAAGGGCTGGGCTGACAAGAGCTAGGCCAGCACTCAAAACAGGGCAGGCCTCAAGGACTCATATGGAAATGAGGATGCTCTTGCCCCATAACAAAACATTGAGAGCTGCAGAGCCCTGGGCCCAGCTCCTGGGGATAGGACAACCATGGGGCAGTCAAGAGAAACCCAGCTAGGGCAAGCAGAGGCTGGAAGGTGGACCTTCCATATGAAGAGGGAAGTTCTCTCCCTTCTCTGCTGCCCAGCTCCTGAAAATTCTCCAAAACAGGGTTCAGAAGACCTCAGTTAACCAGAGGTCCACCAGGAGACAAGACAGGGTTGAGCTTCCTCCATCAGACCCTGGTCTCTCTTAGCAGCATCACCAACCTCTTGGGTGCTGGCCAGTTGTGTCCCATCTCACCTGAGAGCACCCCTGAGCCTTAGATCTCACAGCCCCAGCACATTCCCCCAGGAATCTGATCCCATAACACACATTTGGTGCCTTCAAGCTGTCGTGACCCTGTCCCAGGGGTTCAGGGAAGCACCATGAAGAGAGGGGGAGGAACATGCTGTAGGAGAAAAAAGGATTGTTTGGAACCATCTATGATACACTTGTAACCATTAACCAAAATAACCAATCACTAAATTAGAAAAGGGAAAAAAAAAATTGCACGCTGGTTTACGATCAGAGGAAGGCAAAACCAGGAGGGCTGGAGAAGGTTCCTATGAGGGGGATGGGAGAAGGGGAATGAGGCCTTTTTGGTTTTATTGCAAACGGTTCACGAGAGCAAGGAAGGAAGGGAGGAGAGCGAGAGACACCTTGGGAAGATGATTCCGAGCCTTTCAAGATGCCGCTCGTGAGGAGCAGGAGGAGGGGCTGCTCAGTCCTGGTATCTCGCCCTCCTCCCCAGGAGACAACCCTTGGCTTCTATGGAGACTTGAGCTTCTTGGTGCGAGGTGAGGTTCCGTTCTCTGCTTTCACCACTCCGTTTTCATGGTAACCTGGGGATGGCAACAAAGGGACACGGAGCTGGTGAGGGGTCTGGAGCGCAATCTGAGGGAGCTGGGGGTGTTTAACCTGGAGTAAAAGAAGCTTGGGAGGGACCTTCTTGCTTGCCACAACTCCATGACAGGAGGGTGCAGCCAGGTGGGGCTTTGCTCCCAGGGAACAAGGGACAGGAAAAGATGAAATAGCTTCAAGCTGCCACAAGGGAGGTTCAGGTTGGACATTAGAAGGAATTTTCTCACAGAAAGGGTGATTAAACATTGGAATGGGCTGCTCAGAGAGGTTTGGAGTCACCATCCCTGGAGGTGTCCAAGGAATGACTTAACATGGCACTCAGCACTCTAGTCTGGTTGACACTGTGGTGATTGGTCAAAGGTTGGACTCCATAATCTCAGAGGTCTTTTTCAACCTAAACCACTCTGTGATTCTATGGAGGAAGAAACTTTGTCCCTTGCACAAGCCAAACCCTTTATTCTCTCAGGACTGGCCCACAGACACGGGGAAACCCCCATGACATCAGGACACTGGTGGAGACGCCTGCTGGGGGATGCTGAACCCCAGGACTTGCACCTCCACAGTGCCACCCTCCCAGCACTCACCCGAGTCCCTCTTGAGCAGCTTGGTTTGCTGCTTGGTGCTGGCGGCGGCGGCGGCTCGCTTCCGACTGCTCTGCTCGTTCCAGTACTCCCTCCAGCGCCGCAGCTGGAAGTGGATGAAGCGCCACATCACCGAGGCCTGGAAGAGGCACACCAACAGCAGCACACTCATTCTGCCAGGGGCGGAGAAGAGGCAGGCTGAGAACACAGCAGCGAGGCCACCCCCAGCCCGGCCTTCCCCCCACACTGGGGCTGGTGGCCGAGGTCCCCCCACGTGGCAGATGCCGTCCCTCCAGCCACCATCTCTCCTTTCTGCCACCCCTCAGCCCAGAGCAGCCACCTTCCTTTCCCTCCACGTCATAAAGATCTCAGGTTTTGATTCACTGATTCTTTCAACTTTAGGGCAGGAATTGATGAACAGGATCATCTCAACCAGCACTGCCCAAAACACAATGCAGTACAATCAAGATACGATGTCCCCGGATGATCTAAAAGGTGGAAGGGAGGTAAGAAAGACCCTCAAATCCTCAGGTGTGCCAGCAGTCCTTGGCTTCAAAAAGCTTGAGAATGACCATGCCTGGCAAATTCTGAACTGAACCCACAGCTGCTTCAAGGATGAGAAAGGCTCCCAGACTTGACAGACTGCAACGCGTAAGGAGCCCATTCCACCCCCTACCTCCCACATCAAGGGGCAGCAAAACATGGCCAAGCAGAAGGGAAAATGCCTTTTCCTTGACCACATCCATGTAAATGCACTTACAGGTACAACAGGAAAAGCCTACCAGCATTTCTCCAAGATAGGCTTGCACTTTGTAACTTCACTTCATTAACACTTAATTTCCTGATTTTCCCCTTCATTTTGGCTCTGTGTAGCCTTTAAACCTCTCCTTGCTTCCTTCACACCCCCTTCAGTGCACTAACACCTTCCCTAAATGGAACCAGGATCAGCTTGTCACTGTCTGGATCCCATTTGGATGGAACCTGCAGCAACCTGGTCCAGTGATGGTCTCCATGTCCAAGGCAAGGGTTGGAAAGAGATGATCTTTAAGGTCCCTTCCAATCCAAACCATTCTGGCATTCCATGATTTCCAAACTCAGAAAAACCCATGCTGGAATAACACAGCCAAAGAAGACACAAGAGACATTCCTACCTGAAGAGAATATTGTTGAAGAGAAAGCTGAAGAAGTTCCCTCTCTCGGGGTCCAGGGCCTGGCTCTCCACGCGCGGCAGCCCGAAGCCGATGACCAGGATGTACAAGGTGAGGGTGAAGAGCCTGGTGACCACGAACACCACGGCCCACACGTTAAACCTGCAGGAGGGCAAGCACAGGTGTGGGCAGGAGCAGCCCCAGTGCTGACCCAGGAGGGGAGAGCAAGGTCCAGGCTCTCCTGGGCTCCACAGGAGGATGGGAGCCACAGGCAGCTCCCCTGCTTACAGCTTCTCGTTGTTCTCGTCCGTGAAGTAAACCAGTCGTGCCATGTGGAAGAAGAACTCAGCCAAGTACTGCAACAGCAAGAGGATCAGTCCCAGGCGGGTTAAGCTGGTAAGGAAAAGGAAAAAAAAGCATCACTGGGCTGGTCAACCTTCATCCTTCAAACCCAGCTGCAGCCTCAGCCTGTTCATGAGCTGCAGCGCCAGCCCAAAGCCAGATCTCTGTGCAGTAGAAGGGGTAGGACTGCAATAGGGGAAATCCCTGTCTATAACCCATCAGCACAGTCCAAAACACTACCAGAGCTGGGATATATCCAACACAAAACCCTATGGCTGGCAAGGCTGCTCTGCTTTTTATCAGAGAATGGTTTGGGTGGGAACGGACCTTAAAGATCACTCCAATCCCCTGCCCTGCACATCTTCCACTGTCCTAGGTTGCTCCAATCCAACCTTGCTCCAATCTTCCACTGTCCCAGGTTGCCCATCCAACCTTGACAGTAAAAGGTTTATAAAATCATGGGAATTCAGGGAGTTGAGCTTGGTAGGATCTGGGAAAACGCTACAGGTAGGCCCTGGGAAAATGTTAGACCTTGTCTTTGTTAGATCATGTGAAACTGCGCTGCACCTGTGTAATTATTATATGATAAATGATATGATTGTTAGATGTAATGTTTGCTCAGTAATTAGATATAATTATTGTTTGATTATAACAAGAATCATGAGAACTGTGTTCAGGGGGTTTGGGGGGAATCACAAGAAATCCATGCTTGGATGGGATCAATGTATACAATAGAACAATACAAGTTTAATAATTAATATGTAGTTATATAATGACAGAATATAAAACATGTTCAGCTCGAAATCATGTCGGGGTCAGATTTGGGTCTGAAACTCCTGAATTCCAGAGCTCTTCAACTAAAAGCACCTGCATATAATCATATGCCGTGATTATGTGTTCCTGAATGCTAACAACCTGGCCTTGAACACTTCCAGGGATGGGAAACCCTCTGAACAACCTGTGCCAAATGCCTCACCACCCTCACAGGCAAGAATTTCTTCTCAATATCCAAATCTCTTCTAGTTTAAAACCATCCCTCTTGTCCTATATACCTGCCTATGTAAAAACTCACTCTCTACTGAAACAACCTGATTTATTCCTTCTAAGCCTCTCACCCCACTGAGGATTGCCAGGTGACCCCAGGGCAGAGGCAGCTGCCCTGCCCCGTCCTGGTGTGGAGCTGACTCACTTGAGCAGGTAGGCGCCGGCGATGTGCAGCAGGTAGAGCGCGATGCAGCGCAGCTGTCGGGGGATCTCCTCCTGCCAGGGGCACAAAAGCCAAATCAACCTCTCAGCCCTCTCCACTCGCCCTCTCCCAGAGCTCCCTCTCCCAAAACCTCCCCCTGGCTCTCACCTTGCGGACTTTTTGGAAGTAGAGCTCAGGCAGGGCGTGCAGCCAGTACGCCAGCTGGCACAGGTAGAAAAACTTCACCTGGTACCTGAAATGCAGGGAGGAGCCACGTGAGCCAGCCCAGGCCATGGCAGGACCCCAAGAGCCCGAGTGCCAGGGCAGCATTGGGCAGTCCCTCCACTGTTTTGGAGCCATGGGATTTAGGAGAAATCATTTTGGGGCTGAAATTATTTGTTGAGCCAAGAGAGCCACACATGGAGTTTATTCAGATGCTTGTGCTGTGGTGTCTGTGCTCTCTGCAAACCTCACTTTTGTAAAAAACCAAGAGTGAAGGGTCATCCCCCACTATATTTGCGCCGTGAAAAATGAACAGCAAAGAGACTTTCCCAAGGTGCTGCAGGAAACAGTCAGGATGAGTAACCAAGCCCACAGGGCCTTCCTCATGAAACCCTCTGAACACCCCTCCCCTGGCTCACAAATGAGATATCCCCACTCCCCACGGTCTCACTGCAGCATCCTTGCTGCAGGGTGCATGCAGAGGGTGCTGTGCTGTCAGCACCCCACTCCCAGCAGGCAAAACCATGGAGAGGAAGGAAGTGGCCAGCCCCAGAACAAAATGCCCTCGCAAGTGCTTACGGCAGATAAACATGCGGGTAGTTTTCCCACAGACTCCGGGGGTTTGAAATGTATCCTTCCTGAAAAGGAGAAGAGAGGCAAGGCTTCAGCAAAACAAAACAGGTTATGAGAGGCTGGGCTGATGGTACAGTGAAACAAGGAACTGGGGATGACACCCGAGCCTCGTCACAGCCTGCAGGAGCAAACCATGTTCCATGTGAGGGCCAAGGCTGAGCTCTGCATCTGTGGGACTCTAGCACCCCTCTAAAATTTCATCAGGCCCCTTATTTGGGGGCTGAAGGCTGCTAGCTTAGTTGCACAGAGGGTCCCAAATTCAGGAGAGCTTATTTGGGGTTTGGAATGCTCTGGAGGTGAAGCGTGGCTCAGTAGCCATGTGCATGGTCCCAGAGGCTTCTTCCCTACTGGCATTTCCAATCCCAGCAGCACTTCAGCAACAAGAAGTGCTTCTGAATAGAAAGAGGAACAGAAAACACCAACAAAAAAAAACTGGATATGAATTGGGATAGTTTCATTTTCCACCTCTTGCCTTATAGGATGGGACTCCCTTCTCACTCCTGCCACATGGATGCTGCTCTAGGCTTTGCAAGGAGATGCTGGCAAGGGAAATTTGTCCTGCCCAGTCACCATCATCCATTCCCTGTCTGTCCCAAGACCTGTTTGTTCAGCTGGGGAAGGCCAGGGAAGCACAAGAGTGACCTGCTTTACACATGTTGGCTGTTTGGGGAGCATATCACAGCAATGTGGGGTGTACAGGAGGCTCCAGCCCCACAGCTGCTGACGGATGTGTCTGGCACTGGGCAAGGGGAGCCCAAAACCAGCAGCATCAACTGTTTTGCCAAAGTTTCCTTCCTCAGAGACCAATGAGGCAGAGGCAGTGCCAGCAGATCTCTAGAAATGCTGGCCTTGAAGGGAAAAGTAGTTCTCTAAAAAGGGCTGGCAGGACCCTCTGAGCAGTGGGGAGGGAATCTGTCCCCAAGGATCCATCCCCAGAGCCACTGCAGACCACAGCTGGACCCCAATGGCTGCAGGTAGCAAAGCATCATCACTTCATCCTGCCAAAACAGTCAGATCTCTCCCACACCACCTGCTCTTCCCTCCCCTTTCCTTCTCAAAATGACAGTTTTCCCTCTGAAATCTTTGGGTTGACACATCCTCAAGAAACAGCAAGGTTTCCCTGTTTTCAAAGATTCCCCCACCATCAACTTGCCAAGGAAGGAAGCACAAAGAGGGATTCCAAAATTCTGCCCATTAGCCCTATGACCCCACAAAAGGCACCCAGAAACCTCAAGGCACTGAATGTACATAAGGAGGAAAATAAGCTGAGAAAGGCATCAGGTCCTGGAGCAGAGGATGGAGATGATGGGGCCAGGCAGGATTTCTGGGCCCCAGCTCCAAAAATATTTCACAGCCCATTTACCTGTGCTTTGTACAATACAGGAGAAGGATTTCCCAAAACTGCCCTCAGACAGTGGCTGGAAGGATTCACCACAGCTGAAAACGACACTGACTGAAATGTGCCTGCTTTGGCCCAGAAGCTGGCTGGGGTCTCTGCTGCCAGTGGGATTTTGTGCTCCAGAACCCACAGTTCCCCCTGGAAAGCCAAATGCCAGCCAGCCCCGTGCCTTACCGTCACCACGACGTACAAGCACCAGATGACAGAGGTGAGGTGGAAGGCAACCAGCTGCCCTGACTCATTGAACTTGCTGTGTTTGACCTTGGAGAGATGCAGACGCCTGTTGATTTTCTGGGAAGGAGCAGAGGGAGACACAAACAAGAAAACGTGAGCCACCATCAACTCTCTCTCCTCCTCCTCAATCCCTAGCAGCCTCCAGAGATGAAAGCTCACCCATCATCACCTCAGCCCCCAGACCACCCCCAGAACAGCATTTAACTGCAGAGCCCTCCGTGGCATTTGGTCTTTTGAGGACACAAGACAGGGAATGGCGCTTACGTCCAGGGCGTATTCCTGCACCACTGCGTGGAGGATGATGGCGATGAAGATGTAGAAGAGGATGGTGACCAGATCCTTCAGCCCATAGTGATACTGGACCAGCTCCCCATCTGCAAAGACAAAAAAAAAGCGTGGGTCAGACTCCCATAGCCCAAAGGATTTCCAGTTGAGGGCTTAGTGGGGAGCAGCTTGGATGGGGACACCAGAGAGGTCATGACTATGCCAGTGGTAGGGAAAAAGGGCTCTCTTCAGGGTTAGCTCATGGCAGACATGGGTGGTTTCCCCTCTTACAGGTACACACCTCAAGGGAGGGGACACTGAGGACACTAAAAGCTTCCCCTTGCCACTGGGGACAGCCTGGCTGTGGAGATGGGAATTTATCACCTGCAGGGATAAAAACACGGGAAGTTGAAGCAAGTGACAGGATCAGGGATTCCCCACTAGAAACATCAGCGCTTGGGATAGGATTTCAACTCCCTCAGTTATGATTTAACACTTCCTTAGGATCTCCCACTCCTCCCTGAAAACTGCTGGAGCAGGATTCAGCTGCCTAAATGCAGGTGCCTTCTGCTAGTCAGAGATCTGAGGCAGCAGCACAGGGCTGGTGGATGACAAATAGGACCCACAAATAGGGAGGCTGTGCTCTTCTGGAGCAACAGGAGACCCAGCAGCACTCAAAATACCCCAGACATCTGCATTTAGGTGACTATTTTCAGCCCTGAAGCTTATGGGGAGAAGTAGAGTTGGGAAGGCTGCAGGAAGTATCATCACACGAAGCTCAGCCCACTCCTGGCTGCTGCTCTCCTTCGCCCTGACCCAGTCTGTCCTCTCCTGACAGGAAGAAACTGCTCTGTCACCAGCCCTGCCTACCCTAAACAAAGCTTCATTCCAGATTTCTAAGATTTGAAGGGGATTTATGAACACAACTGGCACGAGGATATGAAAACACCCTATCCTTAGGAGCCCCTGGTGCTGTGCAGACCCAGAGGTAAAAATGGTGCCTGTATCCCAGAGCAAGGTAAAAGACAGAATTGCATGGCCAAAGAAAATAACATCATGTACGTGTGCTCTGCCTTCTCTCTCCAGGGCACCTCAGAAGTTCTAGCAGAAGCTGTGGGGGATGTGGGAAAGCCTTGGAAAAATTTCGATTTCTCCCAAGAAGCTGCTGCACTAAGATCTTTCTCCCCACTAGCTTATGCCCTATATTGATATCCCAATATTTGGTCCTGGGGAGGTGTTTCTGTGCCCCCTGGGACATCTCATGTCAGGAAAGAATAAATCCCTTAAAAACCCAGCAGCAGAAGTTGTCTGGACTATGCCACAGGGGAGAAGGGACCACAATTGAATCTGGAAACTGGATGACTCCTTCAGCCATAACCAAAGCCTTTAAGGGCAGAGCTTTTATCTTCCGCATGTCTGCCTCACTGCAGCTCCCCTAATCCCAACACCCTGCTCTTTCTTTGCATGATTACTCAAACACTCCCAATTAACTGCAGTTTTCTGCCGCCAGGCCAGGCTTTGTGCCCCGGGCATTTGGCTCATCCCGAGCCCAGGCCTTTACCCAAAGCAGCTCCTGCTGTCTCCAGGCCAGTGCCCAGATCCCTGCCAGAGCCAGAGGGGCTCTGAGCCAGGAAGGCAGCAACCAGCAGCCATAATAGGAAAAACAGGGGCTGAGCCTCCTGGCTGGGAGCTGGGACACCTCCTCTGGTCCTTTTGGTTCCAAGCTGCACCAGCTCAGAGCCTCCTGGAATTTACTCCCTGTGAATCAGAACCTGCCTGGAGCATCTCTTCACCATCTCCACACCCTCTTCTCCAGGTGCCATCCCCAGAAATCAGCAGGACAGGGATGACATGCACAGGTCAAAGAGGTAAATCCCTCCTGCTCCTCAGGGGGACAAGAAGCTGCTCCAGGCAGGCAATCACACAGCCGGATCCTGCCTGACCAGGCTTGGAGCAGCAACCTCATCCTGCAGGGAGCACCGAGTGGCCTGGCCATGGCAGAAAGAAAAGAGGAAGCCCCCAAACTCTCTGGAAAGCACTTCTTCCCAACCTGGCAGCATGAGGGCTGGCAGACACGACCAGAGTGCTCTGAGCCACTCAAACTTTGCTTCATATCTTATTTTTAACATCTCTGCCAGACTACATTTGCTGCCAGACAAGACCCTGAGCAGCTGATCAGTAGAGGGTGAGCCCAAGGTAGCTGGAATTGAGGATTTGGGGCAAACCAGACTCAACATTCCCTTGGGATTTGTGGAGCAGAGGCATCTCTCACCTGCTGTAGGCACACTAACATTATACTGAGGTAAGATGAACAGGAAGGCAGTCTTGGCTGTGACCTGTCAAAGACACAGAGGGAAGAAGAAGCAAATCAGTTGTTAAATCCATTCTTCTGGACCAGTTTTTTTTTCCTATCACAATGGGAAAGGCAAATCACCCAGGGAGATGTGCCAGCACCAGCTTCACTTGCAGAAACACAGAACCTCACACTGGTCACCCACAAGATCCCAGATGCATGGCTAAAAAGGGAAAAAAAAGCCTGGGATGAGACATCAGGACATCCAAAACCCAGGGCTGTGTTGCTCACTTTTCATTTATTGAATCACAGAATCAGATCATGGAATATCCTAATTTGGAAGGGACTAAAAGGATCACTGAAATCCCACTCCTGTCCCTGCACAGGACACCCCAAGAATCCCATCCTGTGCCTAGAATGTTGTCAAAGCCCTTCTTGAACTCTGTCATGCTTGGGGCTGAGAGCATTCGCTGTGGAACCTGGTCAGCACAAAGCCACCCTCTGGGGAAAGAACTTTTTCCTAATGTTCAACCTAAATCTCTCCTGATGTAGCTCCAGCCATTCCCTCTGATCCTGTCATTGATCACCAGAGAGGTGGACATTGACTAAATTTTTATTTAAAGGAATGGTCCTCCACAGCAGCAAAGCAGGAGACTTTGTGGGGATGGGGCAGAGCATCCACCCCACAAGACACCCCAAAACTGCACCTCTGAGACCAAAGCACCCTCAAGCTGGGGCCACAGCAAAATCCAGTGCACAGACATCCAACACCAAACATGCCTTCATGACATCCAACACCACACTGCCAGTAGGTCACCAGAATTTCCCCTTCCAGTGGCATCCAACCAACCCTCCAACGCTTCAGAAGCATCCACCCTCAAATACAACCATTCCCAAAAAATCCTGTGCCCGTCAAACACCAACGGAGATCAGCTGCATTTCACACAGACATGGCTGCCACTGCTTCAGTGTGGCAGGATATTAAAATCCCTGCTGGAAATTGCTCCACAGCTTGTGGGGGAGAGCAGGGGACTTTGCTAAGAGTTCCCATCCTGCCACCACCAGCATTGAGCAACCGGTGCAGGCAGCCCCGGCTCAGGGACAGCAAACTCCATGGTGATGTTTGGGGATTTTATTGTTTTTTCCACTGAAAAAAAAAGAAAAAAAAAGGAAATCCCACATGTTCTGCTCTGTTTGTAGAGGAGTAGATGCAGAAGATGGAGACCATGGGCAGAGTTTGGGGTGGGAATGGAAAAAGTGCATCGCTTGGCCTCAAGCTGGCTGAGGGAGACACTTCTGGCTCCTACAGACCTTGCTGGCTGGGAAAACCAAGTTGCTTCATCCCAGAACTGTACAGCACATCCAGGACCTGGAGTTTACACCCAAGCCTTGCCACAGGCTGGCACAGGGCATGAAACAGAGGCACGGAGCCAGTGGTGGCTGTGGTGTGGCAGGGTGGCCGTGTCATGGATGTGCTAAAGGCAGCAGGCACTGATGGATTTAGAGCTCCCCGAGTACTTGGCTGACATCCATTGCTGTAAACAGCTGGGAACAAGACATCATCTCCAGGTGATGCCTCCTAACCTGCTGGAGAGGACACAGGCCAGAGCTGTGAGTCCAGGAAAATGGCCCCAGAGTATCTCCAAGGTGGGAAGCAATGCCTGGACAGAGCTCAGCCCCAGCACAGTTTCCCCAGATTCTCTTTATCTTCTGTCCCAGAGTGCCTGGTAGGAAGGTTTCTCCATCAAGCAATGCTTTGTCCCATCTCCCCATCTGTCTTTGCTTCCTCTGGGCTGGAGAGCCACCAGCAGCTTTGGAGCCACCCCAGCACCTCCCACCATTCCTTACAGAGGGGTAGCAGGTTGTTTCCTAAAGCCTCAGTGAAATATTTTAACAACCAAAGACAAATGTAAACTCCTAGATGCAGGTATCTGCACGGCAAAAAACAGGTTTCCTTGGCTTGGGAAACAGGGATGAGCACCAGGGATGGCAAAGCTCTTTAGAGCCTGCCTTGAGCATTTCACAGGCAGCCAGGGAAAGCAGAAGTTTGGAGTGGGAAGAGCAATGTGAGGATTATTCAGAGGCACAAGACTTGCTGTCTGTTTGCTCTGAAACAAAATGCTGGTACAGGAAAGAAAAGTGCTGGGAATGGTTCTGCCCCGCAGGGCAGAGAGTAGAGGGACAGCTGCCACTAAACTGCTACTGTAAGGGGCGCAATTAATGGAATCACAGAATAATTTAGGCTAGAAAATTCCTCTAAGATCATGGAATCCAACTGTTCCCCCAGCACTGCCAAGCCCACCACAAAACCATGGCCACAGGTGCCACATCTGCACTATTTTTGAACAATTCTAGGGATGGTGATTCCATGATTTCCAGCCTGTTCCAATCCTTGACTGTCTTTTCAGCAAAGAAATTTTTCCTCGTATCCAACTTAATCCTTCCTGGCACAACTTTTTAGAGGGTGGGAGAGGGATTTGTCTCCAGGGGACACACAGAGCAGGGACCATGTAGCAAATGCTGTACATTTATTTCTCATCCACTCCCTGACCAGCATTAAGGGCACCTCTATGCAGAGGAGATGTTCCTTGTCCCAGCCTCATCCTGCCTTACATGAGGGATGTGGCACCTGGGGACATGGCTTAGGGATGGCCTTGGCAGTGCTGGGGGAATGGTTGGACTCGATGAGCTTAGAGGCTTTCCCTACATTAATGATTTTATGGTTCTGTATGCCTGAACCAGGTACATTTGGGAAGCAGCTGTCCTGGGAGCTCTACACCCTGAAGGAACCACATCCTCAGCAGTGAGTGGCTTTCTGTTGGTAAAAGCCACTAACTCCAGGACCAAAGTGCAGCTGGATGCTGAAGAGAGAAAACTCTGTGTGCCCACCAAGACCTGAGATGCCTGGATCAGCCAGGACAGGGATGAGGCTGTTTCTCATGGCCAGAAATGAAATCAGCACATCCACCTTGCAGCCCTGGGGGGAGAGCAATAGATAAAGCCAAGCAATCCCAGCACTACAACACATTTACTGTCTCCCACCAGGCATTTACTCCCTGATAATGCAGTGATTGGAAAAATCTCCACACCACCTTAGCCTGGAGATTGCTGCCTAATACTGAGCAGCAAAGCTCTCCCCATCCTTTTTTGGATCCCAGAATTATTTGGGTTGATATGGACCCTAGAGATCATGTTCCAGCCCCCTGCAAAGGGAAGGAACCTTTCATAGACCAGGGTTCTCAGAGCCCCATCCAGTAATTTAGAAGATGCTGTTTTTACCCCTGCCATGAAATGCTGCATATCAAAATCCCAACTCCATTTGTTCAGATGTGCAAGTGGCTTTTACAAAGGTGGCTAAGCACACACATCCAGGCAATTTAGCATCTCTCCCAGAAATTACCCACTGTAACCTTCAAGTATTATTTTCAGGAATGAAGAATAATTTTTGAGCATTCTTCCCCAGCACACTATAAACTCCTGGAACAGCTTGCCCAGATTGGTTGTGGACTCCCCATACCTGGAAGTGTTCAAGTCCAGGTTGGACAGGGCTCTGAGCAATCTGGTCTAGTGAAAGTTGTCCTGCCCAAGGCAGAGGGATGGGAAGAGATGAGTTTTAAGGTCCCTTCCAACTCAAACAATTCCAGGATTCTCTGAAACACGTTTCCCTTCTCCAAAGCCTCATCTCAGTGGGATTTGTCTTCACCACAGCCAGGAACCCCCACGCATGCCACCATCCCCATGGTCCTGCTTGAGTTAAAGCCACTCTGGAGGAAAGAAGCAGCTCCAAACCTCTGGCGGGGGAGGCTTGGGGAGTTTTCTGCAGTCTGAGCTGCGAAAATATTTCCAGGGCTTGAAAAACAACTCAAACTAATTACAGACAAAATGCTGTCCAAAGGCTTTTCTCACAACTTTGGGTTTCTTTTTTCCCCTGCTAGCCAGAGTTTATTGAAAGACAAACTTGCTGATCCACAGTATGGATTGACACAGGCCCTATATGTAAACTAAAGCCCAAACTTTGGACCAAAGCCTTTCAAAGTAAACATCAGGCTTTGACAAAAAGCCCTTCCCGAGGGCGGTGCAGCCCCTCTGCCCCCACAAACTCATCCTCCAGCATGACACTATTTCCACTGCCTCACCCTCACTCCTGTTTATTCCCTTTTTAAAAGTAAACCTAAATACTGCACTTTTTTACCTTTTTTCTGCTCTTCCCCAGCACGCAACCCTTACACCCCCCGCATGCCTCGGTTCCCACATCTGGCAAAGACCAGGGGAGGCAGGAATGTATTTTGTTTTCCTCATTAACAACAGAAAGGCCTTAATTTTTAGAGTACTACGGAGGGGACCGGGAAGGGGAAAGTATATTTAGCAGGAAGCCTGGAAATAGCAGCTCATTCGTCAGCCGCCTTCTCCTGACAGTGTCACAATTCTGAGTTTGGGAGCCCGTGACTCACATCCCACGATCTGCACAGGGGGAAAGCCCAGCAAGGACATGGAACCACTTCTAAAATAATGGTTTATAGCTTTATTTCATTGCCCCAGGCATAAGACTGAGCCTCAGTTTCCCCACATTAGAGATTACAATAGCAGCCCCCATCTAATACAGAAACTTCTCCAAAATCAGCAAAGTCTTCCCCAGACCTGACCAGACACCAGTCACAGAAGCCACCCTTGATGGGACACAGGTTAAACCCAGACTGGCCTTTGCTTCATTTTTCTGCAAAGCAGGGTGGAAAAAGATATGCAAAGTAATTTCTGCATGAGGATGGGAAGCACCTGTTTCACACTTCTATAAAGACTCACTAAAAATAGTTTTTTAAAAATAAAAAAGGGGAGGTTTTTCTTTCTGGGCTCCAAAAGCCACATACAAGTGGCAAAATCCCTCTCTGGCAGCAGGCAGCTGCACAACCAAGTGTGTTTTCACAGCCTGAAGGCTTAGGGCTAGCTGGGAAATAAAAACCCTTTGTAGTGCCCAGCTCTTTTTGGGGAAACTCCCTCCAAACCTGGGGCTTCCCTCCCTGAGCAATACCATGATCCCCAAAAAAACGCACACAACACTGGAATAATCAAATCACCTGGAACACCAGTGAGCAGCCTCATGCCACCAAATCCCATCATGACCACTACCTGCACCCTGCCACAGAGGAATTACCAGCTTGGTGAATCCATGTGGATGGGAAAGGTTGTGCACCCAAAAAGATGCTCAAGGTGTAGTTTGTGCTGTGCTTGAGCAGTAGGAGATGTGTGGCAGCTCCCCAGCATCATCCCGAGCAGGGTGCTGGAGCAAGGAAGCAGTCAGCTCCTGAGGGATGCCTGGGAAAAGGTTAAAAATCTTATTTGTGTCTTCCCAAAAAAACCTTCCCTGCAGGAAACAGCCTATTGTGAGCAGGATTCGGCCTTTTCCGCTGGGCCTGCGCTTGGCTGTGGCCACTGGCACTGGGGAAGGTGGAAGCCTGGCTGCAGGGTGGGAAGCAGGGATGAGAGAAGGAGGGGAAGGGACAATGACAAGTCCTCCTCACCATGGCAAGGGATCAGAGCTGCCACCAAAACTCACCACGGAGGTGGCACAAACCGGCACAGAAGGTTTGGAGGGCTGGGCAAGAGCAGAGGCTGATTTCCCCTCCAGGGGAAAAGAAAGCAGAAGGAATACATGTAATAATAAAATAAAAGTAAACTGAAATACCCACAAGGACCAAGAGCTGTCCCAAACCCCTTACCAAGGGATGATGCTGCCAGCCACAGGGAGCACTGGCATGGCAAGCACTGTCTCCCTCAGGTCTGCTGGGAGAGTAGCAAACTGCTGCCTTTAGCATCCAAGGGAGATTTAATTAAAATACATTAAAAACCCCACAAACACCACAAACCCCTCCCTGCTGCCACTTCCATAGGGAGAGGTTAATCAATTTTCAGAACTGCCCTCACAGCACCATATCAACCAAAAGCACCACAGCAGCAAGCCCAGGTACCACCTCTCCAGGACAGGGCTCCCAATATGCAACAAACCCATCTGCAGGGAGAAACCCTGAGACAGAGATGCAACTTCAGCGGCATTCTCTTTTTAAAGTACAAGTACGAAACTTGCAGCCCAACTTTGCAGCATTTGCATGTGGCTTTGGAATAGAGCTGGCCCTCCTGGGTCGGTTTTGAAACTCTTAAATAAATATACATACATGCCACAAGGACGTTGAAAAGGGTTCGGGTGCTGTAAGAGACTCGTTCATTCAGTGAGTTCGCAGTAAAAAAAGAGGGGGATATTAAAGCAAGGGGGTGCCAGCGGGGAGGAATTGAGGAAATGGATTTCCTCCTCCTGCGATTTGCTACCGAAGGAGCCTTTCCTCCCTCGCCAGGCCCCCCGGCCACCCCTTTCCCATCCGGATTTGCTTTGAAACGTGGCACTGCCGAAGGGGAGGGTTCAGCGGGGGAGGCGGGGGGGTCCCGGCCGGCGGTGCCGCTGAGCAGGGCCCGGTGCTCGGCGCGGGATGCCCGGAGCCGAGCGGAGCCGCCCGGCGAGCGGAGAGCCGGCGGAGAGGGACGGGACCGGAGCAGCCGGAGAGACAGAGCGGC